ATATATATATATATATATATATATATATATATATATATATATATATATATATATATATAAGGAAAAACAGTATCACTCCTACATAATTTTTTTATTCAGCCGGTGGCTTTGGTTGCCCCAATGTGCGTTGCTACCAATCGGACCTGACATATTTGTGTACAAATGGTCATCGACGTCGTTGCAAACTTCAAGAAATTATCACCATACCTTTGCGTGGGACGCCTAGAAATGACAAGGTGGCTAATAGGATCTTTATCTCTGTTGCAAGAAAAAAAGAAAATCGCATCCGAACTGATAACGCATATTTTCTAATTCGTTATCATTTTGAAATGTTTATATGGAAACTATATAGGATTTCTTTTCAATTATTTGAACCAATTATCCCCTCACTTAATGAGAACTTTTTTGAGAGTGACCAAAGCATAGTACCAACTGTGCTGAAAAGTAGACCATGCCTTTATTTGGTGGAAGTTCGCTTGACAACCTTCACTCCGTTGCGAAATTCTGATAAAGTATGTCGTCAGCAGCAAATTGTAGAAATGTACGGTGACTATACGATGTTGCAGACACTAAATATATTGAAGCAGTATGAACGGCTCAGCAGGTTAATTAACTTACTTCGATAACTAATCTATTCTCCACAAGTTAAATGTGCAAGATAGCACCAAACTTAAACTACTGCGTGAATAAACAAAAGGAATACAGTGATTCAATCTCTGTCTTTCCTTCCTGACTCGAAACAAGCTTTGCTATTTGCATTCTTTCTTTCCGAATCATTAATCATTGGTTGTTTATTCTTCATGTTTTTAATTTGCTACCTTAACATATTACTCATGCTTTCAAAATATTTCATCCCAATATTGTTACTTTTACAATCTTTCCTTTCACTTCTTGGGCAAAGTCTACGGTATCCCGGTGCGGGTCATGCTATCAATGAGTCTCGGCATCCGGAAATCCTCGTCAACTAAATATCTAGATCCCGAAGACTATGAAATGAAATTTTAATCATACCTTATGCATTTGAATTCATAATCTTCTCTGATAATCCTACTTCATCCTTTTGTTGTTCAGTATGGATATGGCAAATCGTGTGTATTATTGCCCAAATGGGCTCATCAATGAACGTTCTTCCTGGAAACACATTCGAGAAGAAGATCTGTTGATGCCAATTACAAAATTTGGCCCAGAGGATCAATGTATTGACATCATTTTCGATTGTACTATCCGCTAACTACTATGCTAATATGCAAATAATCAGCTCTATTTGCTTCAGCCTTTCAGCAAAGTAATTAGTCTTTTATTTTTGACAACACTGAGGAGTATTGAATTATTAGAAATATATTTTTGCTACAATCTGTTCACACCAATCTTAGTCATCATGTCGAAAACATAACTTTAGAAACGGCGAACTCAGGTAAATTTATAAAACGATTGGCCCATATCATTGGTCATTTTGTGACAGCAATGTCATTTGAAGAATTTGAAAACCGCAATGACCCATTGCGACAGCAGTATGATTAGTCTAGATCAACTTATTTGCATTCAACTTCCTGACACTATTTGCCATTAGACAAAGCTAATTCTGGTGTACGGTAATAAGTTTACATTGTAAAAGTAGATTAAAATTACATTGTTGGAACCGCACAGTCGTTAACACAGTGTGATAAGATTACTGCTTCCAGCCTATATTGCAAGTTTCACGATTGCTACACTGAAGATAGTGAATTTTCAATAAAAAAGAAATCAATTATATGATATAATATGTATTATCATTTCCAAGACAGCAAACAGCTAAAGTGGCTACTCGTTGGCAGCTGAATAAATTACTGTAGTCTCCAATTGAATCACCATAAAAACGTACGAGTTGAGATTTTAAGGCAAATCAAGGGAAACATGAAGTTATCGTCTTCCTCAGTTATCCTAGTTATCCTTAACGATGTCAGGGAAAGATACAGATTAAATAATCGATAAGCAATGAAGTATCACATGATGATATCTTTTCCTAGAATTACAAATCCAATATGTGAGATAGAAGAGACCGATACCCCCGATTATATCGCTTTATAGCTTCCACACCGAGAATTATTCAATTAAAGCGAAGTCAATGGGTCGAAGCATCATTTCCCACCGAGCAGATTGACAGATATTTTGACCAGTTATTACGACTAGTAATTTGTGAAATATTTCTCCCTTTACTACCGTAAGCACTTTCCGGGACTCTAAAGTGAACTTCATTAACTTCTAGACAAAAAAACGTAGAAATAGAAGTGTATATTCTATTCCAGAATCAAGCATTTGATATACACTCAAAACAAATCTGCTTCAAGTGAACATAACAGTACTGTCGACAATCCTCCGCAAGTTGCTGAATTAGAGGATCTACTTCATGCTCTGAAACCCTATTTGAAGTTTGCATTATTTCAGACAATCCTAACTTTAGAGTTACTGTCATAAAACTACAAACCATAAGTCATGGATCAATTCCAAAACCTGCCAGCAACCATTTTAAATCAAAATAAGCATTTTATCATTGTGTGGGACTACAGCACATAACTATTTCGTTGAAAGAACTTTGCATTCATTCGAAATTGCATTAATCATTAAACCGTTCAAAATTAGAAATCGTTCCCGTTCGATGAATTCACAAAATCCAAAATTACTCTCTTGCTTCATGTCCATATATCATTAACTTCCGAAAATATTCCATTCTGTGCAAGAAAAGCAAGATTTTATCTACATATTAAATATAGTACCAAAAATTGACAACCGTAGGATTCCTGGAAGCACCAAACATAACAATTATAACAACAACAACAGTGATAATGAGCAACAAAATATACAAATGAAAATCCACATATCACTTTCTCGGTCAGATTTGTTGAGCTTAGCGTAGAACATCAGGACCGAAATGCTGAAAATGCTTCAAAAGACGGCCTATTGGCCGCCTATCTGAGCAGATTCATTTACTTACTTATTACAGTTACTCAAACCCAAAAATTATCATTCCCTCAATTTCAGTTCTAAAATGATGTATACAGATAGTGACGCATGATGAGCACAGCCAAGTTTCCATGTAAACTAAGGTGAGAAAAAGAAGCAATCTTTTCATTCAGCTCAACATCAGAAAAACATAGAACTTAAAACATTGTCTTTCATGAAAAATGTAATTATCTACAAATATTTGTCAGCAGCGACTTTATGAATCCGAATCAAAACAAACAAAACTCTAGGCCAACTTATTACTGGACTCTACCAAGGTACCATTTCAATCTCTCGCATTTCCTTCCACCATTCCTAACCCGGGTGATTTTGGCCCAAATCTATCTGGTAAAAAACACTGTCATAATGGCTTTTCTTCAATATGCATCAAAAACATAAGGAACCATAATCAGCACAGAACTGATGATACCTGAGGACCTCAATTTTCCAGTTTTTGATCATTCGTTTGAAGCATACTTTTCAACTTGAACGCATTTGAAGACTGAATGTCTCACCACTTCATGTTGAATGAAAATATGTTGAAAGCGTTTCGTTTTCGTGGGAGAAACCAGAACCAAATTTTGCTTCGATTCTTTGGCCAGTGAATTAAAAAGATCTAAACAACAGGAGACCAATAGTTCCACACTTGATGATTACAATTTTTGTGACAGACATACATTCCGAATGGAACTACATTCTTAAAAGCAAGTCATGTCATGCTAGGCAAAAGAGTCTATGACCACCTCTCCTCAGCTCTTTTAGCCAAATGTTTTTGTTAACTTAGCACAGAAAAAACTCAATATAATTCGACAGATCTCTAAACTGTACGGACAATCAAGTCCACTCATTAAGCTATAACCCGACTCAAAATCTTCATACGGGCAAAATATCAAGCTCTATATATCTAATATAAGGGAGGTACTTTTTTTTTTTTGCGAAATACAATGAATGTAAACAAAAATGAACGACAAGGGGTAAAGAAGATGAGCAAACATGTTGTCATGGATGCTTTGAAAAGTTTTCCAGCTTTTCAGATAGCTGTCCTGCAAATTAGATTCATCTAGGTATTACTAAAACACGAATTGCAATTTAAATAACAATCAAATTCAATTTTTCTGATTCAATTTATTGATCGAAATTTTTTAGAGTCAAATTTACGATAAAGTGAAGGGATTACCATATCTAATTATAAAGTAATGAAAAAATGTGAATGTTGAATAGAAGTTCAAGACAAACGGCAACACAAACAATAATAGCATAAACAGAATTCAACAAGATTTTTCAAATTCGGTAAAAAAAGTCAGAAACAACGATTTAACTAAAAAAATTGTTGGAAGGGTCTCCAAAAAAATTCATGCTGGCTGATCAGGATTTCTAGTAGCCCTTTTCTACACATGACACTGACAACGAAAAGCAGCGTAGGCTATACTTTTTCATATGTCTTTTAAATCCAAAAAAAATTCTTTTTTGCATGGAACTGAAGATGATGTTACAAAGTTCATTAAAATTTAAACATATTTAAGACCAATCAGTCAATATCCAGCAAAAAAAAAAAACAAAAGAACATTAAAATTATAAAATCTTTTTTATAAGTCTTTCCTAGATATTTTGCAATGAAGTTATAAGATTTCTATTGAAAAAAAACAGAAAACATTACCATCAGATTCGATGCAGGATGACTAATCACAAATCAATAAAAATAACTCATAACTTTTTCTCTAAATGATGAAAAAACCATTCAATAATTTTTTTAAGAAATAGTCAGGGAATGTTGTTTCAGTTTCAGTGAACTTATTTTCTCTGAAATACGGAACAGAAAATCATGGTTTTAAATTTGGAACCATTTTGAAAAAAGCGAAGGTTTACGTTGCCCCACTCTCAGCTGTATAAACCTATCACTTGCTGCTGAAGCTGGCAAGATATTCCAGAGGTACTGAAAGGACATTGCGAGAAGTAGTACTGGTTGTAGAACGTGATTTCATTGAACTCTGGAAAGTCACTTTAACAGCTGGGAACGTTCTTTAAACAAATGAATTCATCATACATTCAAGTTTAGACATCTAACTTCTTAAGAGAGAGATAAAGATTGCAGGCAAAAAACCACAAATTGTGAATTTGAGTTCTGGTTTCTGAAAAGCTCCAATCTCCATCAATTTCAAGAAAAATCTAAAAAAAATATCTTCACCTTTTATTCACCTCAGGTAACAAATCATTCTATTTTCAGCTACACTAATTGCCCCTTAACAGTGTGGAAACATCCATTTTGAAACTTGAAAGTCTGACCTGTATTGATCCACCACCAATAATGAAACCATCACTTGAACTATTCTCACGCGTGTCACTCTAAATTATATGTTGCTTACAAAACTTGAAACAAAGACCTATGATGAATCTACCAAGAAAATATGTTATTTTCTATTGATACTTGAAAATTAAATAAAAATAGTACCCTTAAGCGCAGAATTAATGCAGGAATAATCGACTCATGTTTTTAAAAATACATGAAAAAAACATCTTAGTGGCAAATCTCATTGGTCTCGAAATATACTGTCTATCCAGAAGTGACCAAATCATTAAAAGTTCGCATTTCCCCGAGACTTTAAATACAAGGCATTCGATTTCACCTAACTCCAGTTTCGTTATTGCTAGCAATTAAAGAAAAGAGTGATGAACTGTAAACAGCAAAATGTTTGGAAGGCTTACTGGAGTTTATCAACGATAGCAAGAAATACTTACTGGAGTTTATCAACGATAGCAAGAAATATGACAAAAATTAGAGGAAACAGAACATACCTTAAGTGGTGCCGGTACGCTCGGAACAATACTTGGCCCTGCCAGTTCCTCAGATTGCATTTCCATACTTTGACTTTCACTTGATGCCTATAATCGTTAAGGATTAAAGAATTCAAATTCCACACAAAAAAATTAATGGCTAACTTCATTGACTTTTGAACATTGCATAGAAAAAATGCACGAATAATGTAACAGTTGGAAAGTATAATCACCAAACAGGAGACCTTTTAGCGAGTCAGCTTTGCATACATGTCTTTCTATTAGTTGTCATTTGTCACAAGTACAAAAAGGCATACCTTGTTTGTTTTTCCTTTGTATGGTAAAACACCGTCACGTAACTGAAAGCAAAAGCAAGTGAAATTTTATACAAAATCTTCATCATTTGAAAAGATTGTTACACTGTGAAGGAAAGTATATGAAATTGTAAACAAGTACCATTTCTCTTAATTGCATATAAATTACGCCCAGGACATTTCGGCCAAGACCGAACTTGGGTATTGAGAGAACAGTTTCATTAGTTAATGGGAATTCCATTGGAATCTGGAAGAAATTCAGGAGAAAAATTGTTTTGCTTACTTAAAAATGGATTGCCGATTGCTGCATGACACGTTATTTGAATCAAAAAGTGTAGCTAGTTCTACTAATTTACTTACCGAGAAAATTTCAACACAAAATTGATCTCCGATTTATTGCAGACTATACTATGGACTGTTAGGTAACAAAATCTTAGTTACTTTAATCACAACTTTGTTGTTTTGCATGCTTTTCGCCCAGTCCTGTATATAGTTGTGATTACAAGCACTTGCATAAAAATCGTCACCACCGAAACAATGTACAAGTAACTTGTCGCCAGAATCCGTCAATTCTTTTCGAAGTTCTTCACACTGTTCAACTTTTGCTAACAATGCACGCTGAAAAAATTTCCATTGATTAAAGATATTTAAAAACTTTAATCTCTGAATTACTGCTGCCTACTACCTTTACTAGTTAAAAGGATGAGAAAAACATTAAGAAGGTTTGAGAACATGCCCCCAAATCAACCAGCAACTATTATGTAAAACATTATGATGCAATAATAGTTTGGTAATTACGACATACCTGCTCACTTATTACTCATCCCATTTAATGCTGTGTAAGGTGGCAATTTAATCATTACAACTATTCAAGTCAGTTCAAACATCCAGAAAGGCAAAACTTCGCTAAAGGCCATAGACCTTGCTAATTCCCATGATTCAGAAGTTATGAGATTATGTGAAAAGAATGACGAACGAAAAAACAAACAAAAAACAACAAAATGGATTAGCTGTCGTGATAAAAAGAGATAGACTTTTATTAAAAACTAATATTCGATAACCATTTGATCATTACCAACATATACCTGCATTGCTTCAAGACCAGGACCCTTCCGCCATTCTTCCGCAGCGCTTCTACTCACCTGCAGATATTTCATTTTTGATGTATAAGAAGCGTTGAACTGATTTTTTACAATAAGCAGAAAATCCCTGTCACTCATTTATCATAAAAAATGATTTTCTGTATCTGTTGCTACCTGTTACTCATATAATGCTGTTACTCACTTGTCATAAAAAATGATTTTCTGTGGAAATGATTTTTCGTCAAAAATGATTTTCTGTATCTGAATAATTTTATAGATCACTTTATTGATTTTCAAGATATTTCGTGCAAGTGTATTATAGTCTTTAGGTGCCGCTTTTGATGAACCATCGACTTCAACACATTCTGTCATTAGCAACGATGTAACGCCACACAGCGCTTCGGTTTTGGCAAGCTGATAAAAATGATTCACATTGTCATACACTCGACCATCGATTTCCAGTGGAAACTGTAAATTTCACAAATAAAAATTTAGACACTCGATTCTGGAAAAATTAATGAAATTTGTAAGCTATAACAGTGAGTAAGAATACTGCAAAGCAACAACATTACTTATAATCAACAATTAAACCAAAACTTATCCCTACTAAATTTGCTGATACTGAGAAAACAGAACTGAAGTCTGCGCCTTGACTTCACAAAATTTTTGAAATTAAACAAAAAAGAATCTAAAAACAAACATCGTGTTGGGCCGTGAAAACATTCTGAAAGCCTGAGAAGCATATTATATTGTCGGGAGCAACCGCATACTCTTTGTATTTGGCTGCTTCAGGCAATTTCTTGAACTGAAAGGTAAAAGGATTAGAAACTGTGACACAGTCAAATTATTCCACAGAATCGAATAAATAGTCAGAACTAACCGCTAGGTAAAAGTTACAGAAATATATGACAAGCACTTTGGCTGAGCTTGAATAAGTAATTTTCAAAGAAAATCATTGACAGGATCTAACTTCAAATGGTCTCCTCTGCACGAATCCTCGCTTCATGATACGTCCGTACATGAATCGTGGTGCTCCACGAGGCATCCGCATTGGTCCATAACCAAAACGGCCTCCTCGAAAACCCATTGGCCCAGGCAAATTTCTCAACAGACGACCACCACCACGACTCTCGTAACGTGGCCAAGCTAAATTAGTCAGATATAATTGCGCGAAAGGTGAAAATAAGTTAATTTAAGCGTTGTTCCGGTTTTATCCAACAAAGTTACGAGGACGTATAGAGAGCACGACTTGAAATTAAGTGAGAACTCGAATAAAAGAGATAATTTAATAAGATTAACAATTACACTATGTATCGGTGCAATACAAACCGATTATTCAATAAACATCTTGTTCATTTCAAATATTCCGTGTTAACGACCAAGAAATGATTTTTTTTTTTAGATTTTCATGAAAGGCGCAGTATAGAGTCTTTTAAACTGAATACAATCCTTCTTTGTGGTATACTATTATTATATTCAGTTTACTTGATACATTATAAGTCGAGAGGAAGTAAAAAAAGACTCGAATATTAAAATGAGTGAAACCAGCCAAACTTACAGTGGTAGGATGATGCAACAGGTTGTATGAATTCACCCTGAAATTAACTAAGTGAATGGATTATTCCATAACAAAGTTGAACTATTTCGAAAATTATTATGAAAGTTCTTGAAAACTGCAAAACCAATTAATAAAAACATAAAACCAGTGAAGTACTCTAAAAACCGTTGTAAATCACAACTATGCCAGTCTTTCGGTGGACTGAGGCCGTTATATAAGATTTTTCAGAAGACCAGATTTTTAGTGGTCTCAAGAAAACTTACACGTACAAACTTCAGCGCAGATTAAACCTTTCATTATGTAAAAAGAAAAAACACTCCACTTGAACGCTTGATGAACTTTGTCTTCTCATTCGTAGTCTTCGTAGTCCTCCTCTCTTTTAGCTATCTTTTTCTGTTCTCAAACCTCAAATTTCAAAGCCTAGATCTTCAATTTCATTTCTTACAAAAACAAGAACCAAACAGCTGCAATTTATATTCTAATATGCAAAAATGCAGATGCAAACAAGATTTTAGTGCCATAAAATTACCGCATGTAATTATAATGAGTCAGGACAGGTTGTTTTTGCAGAAATTACTATGGTATATCAATAATCTACAAAGAAATCCCCATGCAGGCGATACAAGCATCTAAAGTGAATTACATCGCAACATCAACTGTTAGGAACTCTACTTAAAATTCCGAAATGTCATCCTAGTTTTCATATGGTTTCTTTAAATCTTTTTTTTCATATGATTTCTTTCAACTTTTCCACGAAATATTTAAATTAACTTTGGTTATCCCAATATCAAAACAAAGACTAATAGTAGCAATTTTGAAGTGAAACTAATACCAGTGAATAGAGCGAAACAAGCATTAGTGATAAGGCTACTGATAAGGAATCTAAAATGTTATTAATAGAGATGGATAGGACGAAACAAGTGGTAGTGATGAGATTACTGATAAGAAATCTAGAATTTGGCCAATAGTGATTCTGGAATATGATTAATATGACCTGCCTAACAAGTGCTCAGCTAATGTTTTAATAATACCGAGGAATATGTACTTCAACGTGGCCTGTGCGAAGTTAATTATGTGTAACACTACTTACATGCTAAATACTTATAACACCTGCCAAAATTCAATAACTTTCTAACGCTTTTTGCAACCTAACGTTCACTCGTCAGATTTAACTCATTTCGGCTGTTCATTTTTAGCACATTACCTATTTATTAGACAAACATAAATGCTGTGGCCCTTAACTTGGAAATATTACATGCTTCATGCCTTCAGTCAAGTTATTGACTGTGCACGCGCATCTGCATCGAACTGATGTATGCTTGCATGCATGCATGAAGCCTCACCTACCAGGCGCGCTATCACACGAAACAACGACACCCTACCGATTCCATTCACCGCGCACGCCACCGAGCCGAAAACACGTCCTTAACAGCAGCAAATATCCAGCGACCAGAGCGGATAGTCCCGCAAATTGATGAATGAAACTGGAACAGGTAGGTTATTTAACGCTCGATGGGTAGTCCGTTGAAAGTTGGCTGGCCAGTATGTATTTATTCTTATCCCTAATGGAATTTTAGGTGACAGTTTTGGTTGCGAAGGTGCCAGCGGATTTCAGTTATTTAGACAGATTTCAGGTGTGTTACGATGAAATACCGGCATCGTTTCAAATGTCGACGTGGTGGCCGTCGTATTGCGAAAGGGAAAAGGTTAACTTCTAGTTAAATCTTGTCTATGATATCTTAGTGGATAGCAATATTGACTGTACTTTGTTTAATGCCCTACTGTCTTTTGCAATGTTTAAAGAGTAGTCAATCACATAATTCCAGTGTTTCCAGCGTTACAATTTAAAGTTGATGCAAATATTGCAGCAGTGAAAGTAATCCATCGATAACTCGACATCGTGAAGCTGCAAGAGCAGCTCGTACCGCTCAGAAAATACCATTCACACCAATAGATGAAAATTACGATGCCAAATTGAACGATGAAGATGCAGTGCTGGAGCAGATACCCTTGGTTATTTATGATATATTTAAACACTGCTGTCCATTTGTATTTTATAATTAATGGAATTTCGTAAATTTAGATGCTGATCGATTGAAAATGAGTTAGATTAGGAAAGTTAGCAAATGCTTGGTCTTATGAATTCAATATTTTTATGGAATGTATAGGAATTTAATGACATTTGAGGCATAATAATTGATAACTTAATTCCAGCATAGAATGCAAATTGAGGATGCGGACGAAATTAAAAGTATGAGAAGTAACTTTTCGGAGCTAACTTCGACGAAATCAGAACTTTCGCAGTTTACATCTTGTACAAATCCAACCTTCGATCCTGTGCATCGTATCTGGAGGTGCTGATATTTTATTCATGATAACTGGAAGTTGAATTTTTATTGATTAAAATTTTTTCGTAAATTTAAAGGGTTTGGATTTTTTTTTCAAGTAGTTATTTTTACAGAGAGATTATAATGGAGTTCTAGGAAAGCTTTCTGAACTGTTCCAGAAGTTCCTTTCGCGGTATAATGGCCTTAGCTTCGATTTTTTTGGGGCTGAATAACTCCCGTTACCTTTGAATAGACTGATCAAGCCATGAACAAACTTCGATTAAATAAAAGCAATTTACAGCATGCTGTGCTTAGTGACCGTAATTCGTTATCTCTGATCAGAAAATACAACTAGCTGAATGTCTGGAGTAATAAATGTTTGGAGTAATATTAGGTGATACACTTATAGATCGGGATCAGTGTTGCAAAATGAAGTGCTTGCCGTGCTTGCGGCTACAGCAGAATTGATTAAAGATACTGATGGAACAGAAAGTGATGCTGAGTATTTCGCTGCACTTTTGACAGTTATCGAAGCAATGCCTGCAGTGAATGAATCGAAATTAGCTGCAGCTGCTTATTTGTTAGGTCTTGTCGCTAAAAAAATCGACAAAAGTGTGTCACGGAAATGCTTTTCTCGAGCACATCAGGTAGCTTCATATTGGCTAAGGATTCCGAGCTATTACTATAGAGTTTTAGTTTCGCTTGTATCACGAAAGTTGTTCTCATTGATTCATCAGTAGTCAGTAATGAAAGTAGGTCATAGCATTAATATAATTTATTGATAATGTAAGGGTTAAGAAAATATTTTCTAATTGAAGAGTATCTTTCCACTTGTGTTATGTTTACTTTTTTTGAAAGTTAGGGCGTAGCTCATTAGTAATTCATTTCTATTCTGCCATACTATTGTTGCAGAATTCGGTAGCTCTTAGTAAAGTGCGTAATTTTGTGTTATTTCACTTATATGTAGATTCTGGAAAATAAGCTTGGCAAGACTCAACTGGATGTTGCTCTGGCGAAACTTATCACTACATTAGGGACGATTTTGCATCAACAAGCTGCCAGCATTTGGCAAAGTAGCAATACCAGGTTTAATCTTTTTAGATTCATTTACTGATTTTCATATCTTTTTTTATTTTTAGATTTTGCGCTTTCTCATATTCATATATTGATATCATTCAAGTACTTTATGCTTATGCTGTCCATAAAGCACGATTTGTGTTTTATATAAGTTTCGATTTATTTTTGCGGTTTGTAAATTCGGTATGGTAACACAAAATTGAGACACTGTCTTTGTCCTTCTTCACAGCCATCAAGTAAAGCATTGACTTTGATACCCCTGCAGATGAGGAAACTGTCAAGTATTAATTGATTTAATACTACACAAATTTTTTGGTTTATTTGAAGGCTCTCACTAGTGAAAATTGAAATGTTTGCGATCCATGATAAGTCTTCGGTTCGATCTGCTGCTCGACGAACTCTACGCACCATTCTTAACGATCCTATTATGATTACATCTAATGGTTACCACCGGGGAGCCGGTATTGTCGGTGAAGTGTTGATCAAACAGTTGGAACAGAATGCCGGTAAAGATTTGCTTCGTAGTTTACAGCCAATAAGCAGCAACCCAAAAAATACTTTATGTAATTACAAAAACGTTTCAGTCGAACATTAAATTTTCTGAATTCGTAGCAAATAAAAAGGGAAAGGGGATTGATATTTTCTTAATTCGTTAAAAACTGCCCATTTTTATAACTTCCCACTAGATGTCTTGCTCATTTTTCTACCCTGAGTTCATTTGCTTTTGATTTGTCCAAGAGCCGAATAAAACATGCTAAAGAACTACCTTAGCATTCTACGGCAGTTTATATTCGTGAAATTACTTTTACAATGTTGATAACCAATCCTGACTTTGTTCAATTACAGTCAATATAGACATTGACTTATTACTTCGATTGTTATGTCTGGCGGAAAATATTATGCATAAAATGCCACCTTCGATATTCAAAAAGTTTGCGGAGACGACATTTACATTGCTGTCTATTTCGGATTCTAGTCTAAGATCCACAGTTTTCCAATGTTTTCGAAAAATTCTACAGCAGCAGCCACCTGATACAACTTTACCCTTCAATACCAATGTTCTTTTGATTGGTCTTTTGCGCGATTTCTCGTCGAGATCCATGGACCTCTCTGTTATATGTTCCTGGATGGAGGTTTGTTTATGTCAAATGTATAATTTCCTTCTGAAATCTTTATCTTGCCTAAGATCTTATAAAATCACGAAATAAAACTAAATCAATCGAGTTTTCTTTCTTGAATTTGATAATTTTCTGTGCAGTAAGGGGCGAGTATTTCTAGGCTCTTTGTGAATCGCATCTTTGTCTTGCTACAAAAGATCTTGTAAAATCAATGGCAACGCTGAGAGCTTCACTGAAACCGATTTTCCAAACATTTGATTTGGGGAAAGATTCTGTTGCCTTGGTAGCGTTTTTTTTTTGAAATATCTTTGATTGCTAAGTTTGGAACAAATTTTTCGAATAGTCATGAGGGCTATGTAGCTATTTGAATAAGATTTAATCTTCTGTATTAGCGAAAACTTTAACGTACACCTGGTTTTTTGAGAATAATCTGAGTCAGTAGAAGATGAGATCTTTCATTTTATTTTATTTTTTCTATTGGTTACTTTTTTAATGGCCGTTTAGGTATAAATTCGTGCGAAATTGGAATTAGGAAGTTACCCTAAGTTCAGTATAACGTTAATTCGGAGTATGATCTAGGCCAGAGTTCTCTTTTTAGTTTTGGAACAATTTTAGAGTAAACATTGTCAACTAATTTATCAATTCGGTTTCTTGTTGCTTCTTTTTTACCGGCTAGAACTTCATTGTTGTTATTTTAGATGTTATTTTAGATAACTTACAAAGTAATTAGTCGCATAATTGAACATTGTGTGCAATCAAATGAGGAATTAGCAAGTTATTCTGTCGATTTATGTGAGGAGGCTTTGAATCCACGAAGTACTGGAGTGTGGCAATATGTTCTTCGCACTGAAACAAGGATATTCGAAGTTTGCAAAGGTGCTATCAACCATGAATCATTTGCGCGTGCACTAAAAACTCTGGCGGCATTACGCAACGATGTTAATTGCTGCATTATACCTGATATTGACTTGGTAATGGCTTACATTTTGGCAGGATTAGTAGAACGTTTAACTTTTTTGTCTATGAATTATTTAGCGAGTAAATACTTTCTAGACCTTTTGGATGAGGTCTGCAAAGGCTTTTTCAAAAGGAAATTTGTGGAATTTTTCTTACATTCAGTTGCACTAAGTCCAACATTCTGTATTGTAACACTACATTCTTATTCATCTGATGGTCTTGGTTGTATTTAATTCAAAAAACAAAATTTAGGCTATTGGAATAGCAGTACGACATATTGGTGCTGAGAACGTTTTGCGAGTTTTACCTTTGGAATTGGATCCTCAAAATGTATCACTAGTAACCCATTTCGAAAGATCTTGGCTTATGCCTGTCCTGCGCATAAATATTCGCAACCAGTCAATTGCTTTTGCATTACAATATTTTTTACCATTAGCATACCGACTTCGAAAGGAAGCGCCGAGTGATGTTGTGAGACAAAAAACTTTTGTTACTATCAGTGTAAGTCACATCATTTGATTATTTTTTCATAACTCCTGGAACTTGAAAGTTGATGAAGTTGCTTTAGGTAATAACTCTGGTATAGGAGTCAACTCTCTTTTAAAATGCTTTTTTCTCAATAATTTTTCAGGACCAGTTGTGGGATTTATTACCCGGTTTATTGAGCTCAGCAACTGATTTTGTGCAGAATTTTCCCCATTTAGCTGAAATTTTGAGTAAAGTTTTACTTGAACAACGTGATCTCCGTCTTATCGTGCTATCATCACTTCGCAGTGCGCTTCGTTACGCGCTCCAACCGGATGCGACAGAAGCAAAAAAGGTTTATTATTTGCTTAATACTATTGTCAAAATTTCAGGTTGGACTATAATCTTATATTAGACTAGACATATGTACATATATATATATATATTTAGACAATAATAATTTCTTTTCAAAGCTAAATGGACTATGAGATATCCCATTAGCAATTCAAGCTTAGTTTCTGACTGTTTATTATTTTAGGATGTAATGCGATTTTTTGCATACAGTTTCTTGCGAAAGTTATTTACTTTGTACACCCTATCAAATACTACCATGGAATCTATGGAAGGCATAACTGGAAATAGTTTGAGAACTCTGCGATGCTCTGTTCTGGAAACTGTTCGTATGTATGTACAGTTGACGCCAAATAATGTGATTGATAATTTCATAAATTTGGCTGTTGAAAAGACACAAATCAAAGAAATGGATTTGGACCAAAAAGTGTATTTTACTTCACATTTTACAATTAGGATAAAATTATGTCAAACTTCAAAAAAATGTGGGACATAATATTTTATCGATTTTATTGAAACTTTTTCATTCGTTACTTCATCATTAGTAAAAGGAAGTTTTTTCCTTTCAAATTTTAGAAGTATTCATATTTTTCGTTGTTTGAGATTCGGGTTTTGGATATTATGGCTGCACTTGTGAAGAAGGCAAGTGTATCGGGATTAGACAGTATATTTTCTACCGTACACCCGTGGTTTATAAACAGTGAAGTAGCGCTTCAGAAGAAAGCATTCCGCATTTTGGAAGAAATTATGAAACGAATAAATGATGAAGCTGTGGCAGACTTTTTTGCTTCGAGCGCCGATGAAATAAATAATGTGCTTGATCAGGTAGTTTGTTTAAATGCTATGATAATTGTGATAAAATGCGTGAAGATGATCTTTACTTGGAAATGTGATATTGCAGGATTTGGATAGTATTGCGAAGAGTGCACGGGCAGCACTAACCGCTATATATCATGTGAAATTATCTTCTTTGACTTCATTTGAATGTGCAGAAATTTTTGAAAAAAAATTCCTTCCAAGAATTATTGTCTGTCTTGATAAGTCACACAATATTCGGACACGTTCAAATGCATTGAGATGCTTCGTGAAACTATGTCAACAACTAATACTTTTCGGTTCATATGAGAGGTTGGTGCGCGTTGTTGAAGAGTGTAACCAACATTTTCAGTAACATAGAATCAGTGACTTGAAACTGATCAGTCACTTTTTTTTTTGAAGCATGTACTGTTCGAAACCGATTCGTTATAAAGTCCTATTTATTTCCACAACAAACAAAATATATAGTTTCTTCAATTTTATAGAATTAATTAGCAAAACATTTCAGTAAGAGTCCGTCAAGTGTACTTCATCCAGTACTGACTAGAATTTTTGATATGTTAAATCCAGAAGGATTATGCCCAAATGAAGATCCACTCGAAATCTTGCGGTAAGCCTTGTTGCATGAATAAAATTTCCTCACGTTCACAGGTTTGCAATGCAATCCGCCTTGAATTCGTTTTACTATTTCATGAGAAATCAGTATTGGCCATTCTTAATTATAGATAAATACTCTCATTTTAAAATACTCTCATTTTACTGAGCGTGGCAAATATCGTTTTACAAATTTATCTTTGAGTTATCGTAAAGCTTAAGAACCATTTTGTTAATACCTTATTTAGATCATCAACCATTGCTTTGAATGTCATAGCTCAGAAATTTACTCGTATTTTGGATGCTTCATTGCTGAGCCGTCTTGTAGCACATGCATGTAGCTGGATTGGTGATGAACGGCCAGTGATTAGAGTGCTAATTATCAGATTATTGCGAATGCTAACAAAGAAATTACCAGACTATACAATGCGACAGTATCAGGTCAGTATATATATATATATATATATGTATATATTATAGCTCTGTCGTGGATTTCTGTTGAAGTAATTTGCAGTCAGTCAATAGTTGGAACAAGCAGGGGGATTTTACACGTTGGTTATCGAGGAGAAGAATTGGAGGTCCCTTGGAGTATT